AACCCGTCGGAGTTGCCACGTCATCCGGGTTTGGTTACAAAACTTGTTGACCCGGGTGTATAGCTGAAGTTACTTGATTGAAGCTACCTTACTTTTAGTCCCGGCCGGCGTGATGCACTAAGGTTTACAATGTTATAGCCACATTCAAAATGCGCAGCTAGATCATGGCATGTGGAATTGCTGCCCCGATGGCCGATGGTTTGAGCGGAGATTCTGCAGTAGCCTAGCCTGTAGCAGACATTCACAAAACCCGTTCGATTGGAGACTATTCGTTTTACTCCCTCCACTTGACACGAACTTGATATCAAGATGGAAGTCAATGATGTTTCAAAAGCGGGAACACATCTGCTACAACCGAGATAGTTTTTGTGTAACTTCTGAGGACACCGTGGCACTGTTCAGATGCAAGCTACATAGGTAAAGCTTCATTGAGTACCATGATGATGCCGGCCTGACACCATATTGATGAACGGCTCTGCAGTGCAAGCCATTCGACGGTCTACAAAAAGACGGACGTAGAGGTGCCACCAGAGAGTTCTCACAGGCAACTACCTTTTTATATGCAGAGGAGTAAACCTATCACGATCCGTTCATATGACGGTCTTTCCCCGATCAGGTTCATTCTTGCATGTAAACCATCTACCAAATGTTATGCCCAAAAACATTTGGTATCTGAATTTTGGAATATGTCCCTAACTTCTACTCTCCAGTTTGTTCCTTTAGAGCTGGAGCCGTCTGACTTTCAAATGAGGTAAGAGCAGGTTCCTCTACAAGATCAATCCAAGCGCAGGACGTCTGTCCCGAAGCGCTAGCAATGCGTTAACAGACCTTGCTGTGAAGCTTCCGCTACACCTCAACCTCAAATTGTCCAACTTCGGAAAACCTTCAACCAATTGAACAAGTTCCAGAGTGTTGCTCTCTACGACGTCACACCCCCAATTGGGATGGAATGAGACCGTCAGCTTCTTCAGCTCCGGCAGCTTTACTGGCCCTCTTATCTCTCGACACGTGTCCAGCAACGCCTCACTGGGAACCTCTAAGTGTTCTAGCTCTAGTCCAAGCCCTTTGATAAGGACAGGCGCAGTCCCGATGACAGCCTCGTCCGTATCAAAGATCAGACAAGTCAAGCCTAGGCAACTTTGAACGGCCTCATGGAGAGAACCGTTGCAGTCCCATACGCAGCGGTTATCTCCGTTTACTCGGACCACAAGGCGCTCCAGCTTCCAGTGTGCTAAGGCGGTTACTTTAACCGAACCATCAATTTCCAGAACCCTCAAGCTGGGTGCATCAATCACAACGGGTGCCTGGAGCCCGAAACCCGTCCAGAGTGCCAATTTGTGTAGCTTTGGCGTGCGGATGTCTAGCAACGTACTATCACAGAAAAGGCGTATATCCAACACCTCCAGCCTCTCTGCCTCCAACTGTAAGCGGTTGGACTTTCCATCGACGTCAGAAGGAGTGCTCAAGTGAACGATTTTCAGCTCTTGCAGAACTGGACACATTCTCACGAGGGTTGACATTGCTTGAGCATCCTGCGCAGCCAACTGTATGGTCAGCCTTTTCAGTCGGACGAACGGCGTGCACACTGAGCCTAAGTTCCAGGTCGCTGCCAGGTAGGGAAACCGCAGGGACTGATTGATACTGTATTGAAAGCGCTGGTTGGCTAATGTGAGGGACTTCAGCTGCGGGCAATTTGCGGCGAGGGCTCTGAGCATGTTGGCGCTTAGCTCTGCTCCTAAGCTTTCCTCCTTCTCCGGACCCAGAACCCCAGGGGGCCTCGAAGAAACATCCCAGATTACGGAAAACTGCTCAAGACAAGGAGCCTGAAGGAACAAGTTCTGAAACACCTCAGAATTTTTGTCAAAGAGGTCCGAAGGCTGCAAAGGAACGCCCCAGTTGACTCTCCACAACTCTGCGGCACTGAGGGAGTCCGCGTCTCTGCGTCTGAGTACGATTCTGAGGCCCTTTGCACACCTAGCTTTCTCCAAGAATCCAGCAAGTTTACTCAAATCGCTCTTGAAGGTGAAGGGACTGATCCTACACTGCAGGTTCTGAACGGTAGAAGCTACTTGATGAAAGTGCTTGGAAACGGTCTGTAAGTTGCATAGCTGTGTGACTTGCGCCCATTTCATCCAGGGATTGACGGACGAATCCTTCTCCTCAATGGCCATGTATCTGTCATCCTTGGGATCCCGACGGCAAGCGGCCCTATGAAGGATGTCCTGAAGTACAACAGGTGGGAGACGGTCTAAGTGGCAGGTTCTCTCCGGATGCGCCATATCGTTACTCCAACTTTGATTCTTGCAGCTGGTTTTATGGGTCTCCATGACGCAAACTCGGGTTTGCCAGACGCCTAGCTAGCGGAGAACCTCGAATGCTTTCTTCACAGGATGTCAGAGTGCCTCAGCTTTGGGTATCGTACCAGGTATACGCTACCAGGTATTCTTGTCTCGACCGTGACGCGGGCAAAGTCGGCTGCATGGGCGCCCGCGCGTGCACCCGGATCCGAGTCGGACGGGCCGGCGCGCCGCGCGCCGGCGCTGCTAGAGGGGAGGGGTTTTGTAAAGCCGGGGTTCTGGGGTTCGGGGTTTCGCTCGCGTTCAAAAGCAGTGCGGCTGCGCGCCTGTTACGCAACTGCGACGCGCTGAAGGCCACTAGACCATCTTAATTTCATTGGCTCGCTTGCGCTCAGAGCTGCCCGCATAATATAGCCCGGTCTCCTGTCACGCGCATTGAAGTTGAACCGTGACGCGATGATGATGACAGTCTCAGTGCGCATTCCCATGTTGCCACTAGGTATTGACGAGTCAGCTTTGAACGGAGGATTAAACGGCGCACCCTGAACCGCCGGTACGTCTCCGGGGCAAGAGCGACCATCTAGCACAATTACCATGCATGCCGGCCGTGAGTCTATGCTCAAGCAAGTTTCTGATTATATCAATCCGATCCGGCTACCTAGCTTCAACTATCACTACTGAGGGCGAAACATAGTCATTGCCTATCTTATGTAGCAAGGGCAACATGACCTCCGGCCATGAGGCCAGAGAGCTCTCGGCCTGCCCTTTTTGAGCGCCCAAGCCGCGACGGGTCCGCGATTTTCATCTAGCGTGTAGGGTGCATGACATGATATATCGGCACGTACATGTAGATACGTGATCAAACGCTCAATTGACGCCAGGTTGCAAGTAATGCAAGGTATATGTTCAACACGTACATAACCAGTAACTTCAACCGCGCGTATCAAAATGAATGATGCTTCACGGCCGCGGCACCAGTGCATGCATGTGCGGCGGACCTGGCCCGCCGCCTGCGCGCGCATATACGGTGCCGCCCAGCCAGTACACTGGAAGCCGCTCGTGAAGGCAGTCTATATCCGACCATAGCTCAACATGATTTCATCACAACAACATCGGAACATACAAGCGGCTGGCGGCTGACGTGCCAGCATGAGTCAAATGCTCGCTCATGTGCGTCACGCGGCGCGCGCAATGATGATTGGTCATGATTTTGAATCGACGCGACGGGCTTACAAGGGAACATCCAGAGGCCATCCTTGCAAACAACGACAATTGAAGATGCACAAACAATTGAGCCCGAACGCGTGATCAAGCGGGCTAAGTCTACCTTCCGAGTTGATCCTGCAGCTTTTCTGTGTTAAGCGACTCTACAATCTACTTGAGGAAAGCGCCCCTTGCGCCCCCCTCTTGCGAGCCTCTCGACTCACGAGCCTAGAGTCAAGCCACGATCTAAGCGAAACGCTTTCTAGCCATTGTACACTTTGTGCTGCTACACTAGTGACTGACCGGCCCTTATTCCTCCGTACAAAGTGACCGACCCTGCTACTCGTCCTCGTCGCGCCGGCCGCCCCCCGGGAGCCCCGCTTCGATAAGTTCGCTGAATTTTAAAACGACCTGTAGGGTAGGAAAACAGGCGTGGATGTACGGATGACGACTAGAAACGGACTACAATCGGAGAAGCTAAACTCACTTCGTAGACAATCTTGTGTCCAGCCATTTGCACCTGTCAGATTGGGAGGTATTCAGAAAGGTACTTCTTTTACCGCAAACATCTGACGTTTCAAATGTGGCGGTACCTCGTAATGAGCTGGCGGTGCCTCTCGTTTCGTGGGCGGGTTCGCTAGTAGACAAGCGCTGGCTCAGCCTGTCGGAGAAACTTGACTTTACAGGCAAAGAATTGGCAGAATCAACAATCAGACCACTGCTCTTCTCCCATTTGCCGGAAGTGAGTATCCTGTCAATCAGCTCACATCTCAAGTTCGAAGATTTGCACTCAGGAACTATGACGTGCCCTTGTACTTGAAACCCTTACAATGAGGATCGCGCTCTTTTCTTTTCTAACATCGGACCGCTTAGAAACGGGCTGCTTAACAATACTAGCAGATGTTGTTGCCTCGACGAGACGACACCAGATCGTGTCTCCTGAAACTGAGGGTTTGGTGCCGCAAAACTCTTCCGGCTGGGGATAGGCGACCTCAAGGTAAGTTTTCGCTCCAAATTTCGAAGCACGCGGCTAAAGACGGAGCATCTCGGGCAACCGCCGAAGGTGACAGGTCCGATGCTTCATTTGTCGCCGTTCAAGATTGACGCTGGACCAGTAAGAACAAGTGAACCGGGCGCCGACTTCCATTTTCTGTTCTCTTAAGTTCAAGGATGAAGCACCGAAGCAGAATGGACCTGGGCGATTTGTGAATACCGCACTGATAAGTGACGAGCGCGCAAGCTTCCCTCGACAATCGCAGCAGACGAGTTACCGGTTGACACTTACGACCAGCGTCCTATCATCGCCAAAGAACGTGCTTCGAACACTTCGCCGTTGAAGGCACGAAAGGACCAATCAACTGGCAGTTGCGCGCATAAGCACGCGTCTTGTGCCTAGCACACAGAACCTGGTGAGGAACGTACCTTTCCGACCGTCCCGATCTCTTTTCCGATTGGACTTAGCGCCGCCGCAAACGGTGGGGGCCACACCTGGAGACGAGCAGGAACAGGATACGTCATCATTGATGACAATCTGCGTGTCAACTTAGACAGGAAGAGGGGATGACGTGGATTACCAAGCCGACGTATGGGACCCCACCTAGCCATTACCCCCTAGGATCGACGGTCTGGGCTGATCAGATTCCCCAATGATCGTCAATCGAAGGGCTTAAAATGGAAGGGGGGCCCCTAGAGAATCTGCCTGGAGTCCCTGTTCTCCTTTCTTCCGCTCTGTCGGGTTTCGGTTGAAAAAGGAAACGGCAGCGCTTCGCCTTTCATTCGTCCCCCTGCCAACTCGTGCTCCTGTGATCAACCCTGAACATCTAACTAGGTGCCGCAGAAGTAAACATACTGCTGTCAACCCTTCTGTTCTGTTCTGTTCGAAATGCGATTTAGCTAACCCTCTGTGACAAACGAGTGGCCTGCGGAACCCTCGCTGCTTGGTAGGTGCCGCAAGAATAACCTTACACTCGTCATCGCTTGGCCTGTTTCGAATGCAATCTTCTTAACCCTCTCTATAAGCAATTGGCCTGCAGAACACCTACCTGCTAGGTGCTGCAAGACTAGGCATATAGGTGTCGTTCCTTCTGTTATCATTATCTCTCTTCAGTGGACCTATTCTGATTCTGCAATTTAGCTAGCCCTCCACATGTAGTGATGCTCAAAGGCCTGCGGAACCCTCACCTGAAGCCCTAAAAACTTTGTCGGCTTGGCCATTCCGGGCGGGCCGTACCCCTCAAACGATTCCAACCAGGCCTCTTGCGCGAGAGACTCGCCAATCGGGTCTGGGTGCTGCAACAAGAAGAGAGCCATGCTTAGTTTTCCCCGCCAGATGATTCTGTAAGACTGCTCCGTGTCTGTTCGAAGGTAACTAGTGTATATGTTCCTTTTTTAGGCTTCACTTTGTTCATCGGAAGTCGACAGGATTTGCGGATTGGGAAGCATCGTTGGGTTTGATCGAATTACGAGAACTCCTTGAACCTTTTTGGCAGGGTTTGTGAAAAGGCTACTGATTCTTGCGCCTGCCAATCAGGGTGCAAATTTTGAGAGACTTTATGCTCTGAGAGCCGTTTCAGATTGATGTTGGCGGCGAGTATGAAAAGCTGACACACGCAACAAAAAGATGCTTCTCGACAGTCCTTTTTTGGTCACCCTGTTTAGCCTGCAAGCCACTGACATCTTAAAAAGTTGGGGACCGCTCGATTGTTACAAGAGATTCCGAGGCTGCAAACTTCAACAATATCATCAAAGGGAAAGGCTGACATCTGCAGCCTTGTTAATCGAACAATATGAGACATTAAGAAAGACAACAGAGAAGATAAGGGAGAGGAGAAGGAGTAGAGATGGAGATGAAACTCTGTCTGCGTGCATTCCTTGCGCCTTTGCCAATCTGACCACGACAGAATATGATAAGTATATCAGAACTCTGTCAAGAGTTATCACTCGATCCAAACACAATGAAGTCGCTGCTCGCCAAACGCATGGTCTGTTCTATTCCAACCACAGCCCTGTTATTGAGGACACTCGTGTGGCATTCATCACAGCAAAAAGATGGACTTGCACTGCAGTGCTCTTTTCAAGAACGGGTATTTGATCTTGCCACATCCAAAGTTGATGAAACGTGGCTCAAACTCCTTCAATCTTCACTAGGAAAAAGCTGGCAAGCAGGGCTGACCATGGTGATTTGATCGTTGAGGAGAAGGAAGGTCGATGCAGGAAGAAACCCAGATTTCACTCTGGGTTGCTGAAGTTCCAGAAAGAGGAGCGTGGTCCTTCTAGTTAGAATAAGGAAGCTCGCAAAGATATGGTGCGCCCAAGTGCAGAGGCAGCGACTGCCACCGGATGCACTCCAGTAAATGGCAAAGTATTAATTGTTGTGAATCGAGAATAAAGTAAACCTGATCTAACTCACCTTAGCTTGCGGCTTCCAGAGACTGAATTAGTTTTTGCCTGCCAACAGATCAAGAAAACAACTGGAGAATAATGGGAGAGACAGAAAGTTGAAGAGAAATATAGAGGCAAAAGATAGAGCTTGAATTCGGACAGAAAAGACGACGGTGGAAAGAAGTCGAAGGAAAACCCCCGAGTCTTTTTCGCCGTCCATTTGTCTCCAGCTTACTTATAAGAAGCTCAGATTTTAATTCTCGAACGGGTGGGGTTAGTTAGGGGGATTAGGGTGGGGGAGAAAATGTATAATCTCTAGAAATCCGTGCGCTCGCACCTTTGTGATGCTCATTGCATAATTGCAGCGCTTGCTGCGCTTCACAATGTACCGCTGCGCCCCAACGTCCGGCAACCTCTCGTTCGGACCCACGGGCTGGTACCTCCGTCGCGGCATTGCTCAATCAAGGGGCCGCTTCTCGTGGCCAAAGACAACCCTACCGAGGTGTTCCAGAGCAGCAAAAATGTGCTTCGCTCCCGTTAACCCCTTTGCTTCTCTTCCTGATTACTGCGCAGGTGGAAGGATAAACTAATTCGTCTGATGAGGGGGGAGTCTCCTGAAAACCCTCTTCGTGGGACTGCGTAGGAAATGTCCTGTGAAGCAGATACTGAAGCTGGAACAGCAACTCAGGACGCCCAAAGAAGCTCTCTAGACTCTGACCTAACTTCTACTTGGTGAGTCACTTACGTTGTGCCCTTTCAAACGTAAAGAACGCCAGCTTTGGACGAGACGTCGTCGTCATGAAGTTGAACCTGAGCCTGTATAGGACCTTTGCAGCAAAAGCTGGGAACTAGAGAGGCACTCCTTTTAGCAGTACTCTAACCGTTTCCAACTTCTCGCCGGAGAAGCCTTACCAATATTGAGCCGCCGCGGGGGCCGTTCAAAGTCACTGAGAATGTTCATCGGACGGCTGTCAGCGTCCAATAGGTTCGTGAACCACCAACCTCCGCATGATACCAGGATTGGCTTGGAAGAAAGGCGGACCAAACAGGACAAAGAGAAGGCGTTCTGAGTTGTTTTTCACCATGGTGCATGGAGACTTGGATAAATGCGTCCTGCAGCATAATCCCTTGCGAGTGATATGCATAAAAAGTGCATGCATTGAACAGACGTTCACTTGAGGTGGCCACACCAGAAATACTAGAAAGGCGCTGAAAGAGCAGTCGATAGCGGCAGCGGTCTTTTTCGTGCTGCTTTTCAATCAGAAACTGGCGAGATGAGGACTGGCCAATGCAAAGTGGTGGCCCGCTTGGCTCAAGGCAAGCTTGGGCACGCGAAACTGAGCCTCTTCGTCCTGCTCTTTTTGGTGGGCACTGACTTGACACAAGGGCTCATTCAGCTCTATCACCGTGGTGAAGGTGGTGGTGGTGGTGGTGTCGAAGCAATGGTGTCAAAGGCTGAGCTCCAGCACGCAGACTTGCAGCCAGCCCGAACAGAGATAGCCTCTGAAGCACGTGACACCGTGCCCCGCACTCTTTCACAGCAACTCTTGTCCTTTCAATCCAGTGTCAGTTTGCGAGGAAGCGAACTATTGAGCAGCCTTCTGAAGCAAAGAACCTTCACTGGCAAGCCTCAGACAGGAGAGCAGCTAGAAATTGAAGATGGAGACTCACTTGTGCTGAAGAGTTCCAGCTTGGACGTAGCACTGCAAGAGCAATTGAGAAAATTGAACCAAGTGCTTGCAACAGGAAATGTGCAGGAACTGCTGCGCTTTTGCGCACCAAATGTGAAGGTGGATGCGCCCGGCCGGCCAAGAGTGCAAGGGCACGGCGCTGCCCTAGTCTTTGCTCTCCAAACGCTCTTCATGGAGAAGGTGAGCAGGTCGCATAAGAGGTTGGCCGGATTTTAGGACGGACTCCAGAGACGTGAGCAAGGATTTAAAGATATGAGCAAGTCTTCAGAAATTTACCCAGTGATGTTTCAAACCCAGCCTCCAGAGCATGTGACAGATCAAAGCGGATTACCTAAGTGATTTGGGAGAATGGGTCCAAAGCAAGCGTAACACAACATTGCGACAGCGTGCGCCCTTTGACAAACACATCCAATCATGCACATCCAGCTAGGCCACACTATGTGCGGGCACAGCAACTGTCAAGGTTCGGAAGGGATATCCCCGGAGTTACCTTGTGCATGGTCCAGATTCTATCCTTTAATTGTGCATTGAGGGGAGATCAGCAAAAAGACAAATTGTTGTGGGCTTAAAATAGATACTGCCGGAGCATGTCAAGAGAAGTCGAGGAGTCCAGGGTACAGGAAGCCTGAACTCTACAACTTCTCAATATTGACTAGGTAGGCGGATGTACGGTTTGTGAAGACCAGAAGTCGCCCCAGGCTAAGGCTTTATTATTGCTTGTTTGCTTATACTATATGGTCAAAAGGAATAACATGGGTTGCAACCAGAAACCAAGAGTGTTACCCTCAAGTCCGCAATCTTAGGATCCTCTTTGCTGTTCCCGCGGATATATTTTCCATCTGCTGACGTTCTCTCTTCATGTCCAGGTGTTCCAACTCGACCATCTCCGGTTCAAAAAGAGTCGAGGTGTACTGTCAATTGACCAAGCAATAGAAGTTTCTGCTCCGAACCTTCAAGCCCGCAGTATGAACAGCCTTTTTTGGCCGCTATGTGCATAACCATTTTTGGGAAATTCGAGGAAATCTGCTGAATTAACAAACGCGGTGTCACTGGTTTCAGGGCCATCGGAGCGTCATTCAAGAGGAGGTGATCCAACTGCGGGAGGTCCGTCTCAAGGGCCAGAACGACCCCGACACATCGCGGTTCCTCCTGACCCGGAACTCCTTTCCAGTCATGAATGGAAGAGTGAGTTTGGGCTCTTGTCGACAGTTCACTGCGGCCCTCTCACCAGCTGGCTTCGATGAACAATGAAAGCGATTCGCTTTCTATGAGCATTGGACGTGGCAAATCTACAGAGTGTTTTTCTGCTGCAGATTGCTGCTGTTTGCGTCTCTTGGGTTAGCTTCCTCCAAGGCTAACTCGCTGCCTGCAACACCTATTTCCTTTTTTCTGTTTCTGAGGATGTCGAAGAGAAGACGGAGCAACGTGTAGCTCACTTCATGGTTGTGACGTCAAGGAGATTGTGACAGCCACCTCAGTGTTGATTTCGAGGTCCACTATGTCAATCTACCTGAAAGGGCTCTGCAGTTAACGAGAATAGCTGCGGGCGCTCCAGGAAGGCCTGCGCTTCCAAAAGTGTATGGGCCTTCTCTTCTTCAAAGCTGACGTAAGGCCTCTAGCTAAAAATTGGAAACCGAGAGCCAGCCCAAAAACCTTTTCGGGTTAGAGAAGGTCCATAGATTTCGCATAAAAAGAATAATCCGTTTGACAATTCTTTGTGGATCCGTGGAGCCGGCGAGATTCAGGACAAATGTCTGCCCGATGGCTCTGACCAGTAACTGAATCTCCCAAAGAACCAAGGTTCAGCACTATCACTATTCCGAAAACAATCATTGGCGTGGAGGGGGCGACCCAAGACGGTAAGGCCGAGACCCTCTGGTCGCTTCTTAATTGGGTCAGCAGTGACCAGCAACTTAACCACTCAAAACCACTCCGGGGTCTGACAATGATTCCTAACTTCAGGATCTTCGTCATGCAGGGAGTAACCCAGGGTGGAAAGGCCGTCATTTTATGGCAGCTCCTTCCGGGGTTAGCGCAAACCGAGGCTAACCTAGAGTCCGAGGCGGACGATGCCAAAGGCCGGCTGATGATCAGATGGTGGATTTGGAACGACGATGGAGATAGCGTATCCGCTTCTCTGAGAAGCCCCCAAGGCACAATTGGGGGCGTGCGAAGAGGGGGAATGGAGCGTCAAGCAGCGGAGGAGTTAGAAAGTTCGTCTCTTAGGGTAAGGTCTTGATTGTTGTTTCCTTCTTTCTGTTTCTTTCTTTCCTGTCGGGTTCTAACTTGCATAATTTCCCCTATCTTGATATCGAGGCATGACCTTTTCTCTTCTTTGTGCTTGTTTTCGGCTATACTATCAACCCCGTTTGGAAAACGGGGTTGATAAGGTCTGCTGACGTTTAGACGCGTGATATTCCGAGTGCACTTGTTCTGCTCCCTTTTCGGAGACGATCTGCCGAAGGTCTTCCCCTCCGTGTGATTTCCTCCCCCTGTCGCTTTCCTCTCCTTGTTCCATTATCTCCCGAACTTCTTTGGAGATTTTCTTGGTTTGGACCCCTTTACGCAGGGGCCCCAGCGAATCGGATTCTGGTCTGCGTATTGACGCCCCTTCGCGGGAGGCGAAAATGCTATCGCGTTCGGCTGCATGTCTACCTTGTTTTGGCTGAATGTCATGTTTTCTATGGCTGAAAGTCGTGTTAACCCGTTCTTCCTGGAGAAGACCAAACGTCGTCTTTCCTTTCGAGTCTTTCGATCAAACTGTAACAAATTGGGCGACAGTAACCGCGTGCGTCTACGCATCCGTCAGTGGGGTTTTCAGGGGCACATAGCGCTGGAAATTCGAAGTTTGAGCAGGGCAGCGAGGCTGCTAAACGTGTGGTCACCGTTGGGCGCAACTATTACCTCCGCTTTTGTCGCGTGCAACGAGGGTTGGAAATTTGATCTCGGACTAATATAACATAATCAGTCGGTCAAACGGAAGGGTTCGGTGTGGCATGAATGTCCTGAGAACCGTTGAACCCAGCTTAGTCGCCCAGCTCTCAGTCAGTGCCTACAGCCTTGCTAACGAGGGCAAAGGAGACAAAGAAGACTATGTGGAAACATACTTCGAACTCAAGGAAAACGCGAAGTTATGCTCATGTCCCTCCAATCGTGAGCCTCGATGGAAACGACCTGGTCGTTGGACACTTTCTCACGACAAGAGCAAGCCTGACTGCTTTCGCCCGCTCCATCTACGTCGGGTCTCTTCCCTTTGTCTCCCGCAATTGCTGTACTGTGAGCTCGGAATATGGCGGAGCGTCTACAAATACGCCCTGAATCCGAGAAACTCCATCGAGTGCCTTCGAATCGTCAAGTAACCCTAACCTCATTACCTCGTTCGTTTTGGTTCCTGCGGCGGCTTTTTGGCGAAGAGCGCGAGCGCTACAGCCCTTCTGGCATCTGTCCAAATCTGAGAAACTTGACCGGGTGCCCTGGTTTACGCTTATCGACACGTTCCCGTGTCTATGTCCTGAGTAGCCGTGTTCCAAGTCACGGAGCAGGCAAGCGGTGGGGCGGTTGACCACCCACCTTTAATTCCGAGTACTTAACGTCAATACGCTGCACCAGACAGTCCGGCCTTTGCGCTCTGACAGGTTCTCCTCCGTTCTTTTACGAGCGGTGGAGTCCTTTTCGACCATGAGCTGATGCACGAGGGCCTGCTTGGGGTACCTGAAGGGAAGCCCACAAATTTGCGAGGTAGACTCGGTGAAATATAACCACGCTTTTTTGCTGTCAATTGCAGTTTTTGTACTGCTCGTTGCGCGAGCGGTGCAGCGCTTTCGACGGTCGGCGGCAGTGCACAACAAACTATTTTGTTTCTTGACGGTTAGGCTCACACTTGCGTGTGAGAAGGACGCTGGATCAAAGCCAACCACCTTTTCAAACCAAGGCTCTCTTTGTACCTTGCACAGGTTGAATCGTTTGTTACGCAAACGGTGGATCAGATCTGGCTACGCGCTGACCTAGGAAGCTTAAGCGGGTGTCTGATATCTGTACCGAAATCTGCAAGTCAGAGAGTTGCCTGGTCAAAACTACCCAACTTGCTAACCATGCGCCTTTTCCTTCGTGCCTTGCATGCGCTGTACGACTTGTTGCGCGAGCGGTCGAGCTATTTCAATCACGCCCTAACCCGGGGGAATCTAAGCGGGTAACCATCTGAACTGTTACGAACATGCGCGAGGGAAGGACGCTTGGTCAAAGCTAACCACCTTCCTAACCACTTGCCTTTTTCTACGTGCCTTGCAGTCACTGTACTGCTCGTTGCCCGAGCGGTGGAGCGACTTTAGCCACTCCTTAGCCCGGGAGAGTTTAAGCGGGTATGAAGTTACGAACTTGCGCGATAGAAGGACGCTTGTTCAAAGCTAACCAGGTTCCTAAGCACATGCCTTTCTCTTCCTGCCTTGCAGTCATTGTACTGCTCGTTGCGCGAGCGATGGAGCGACTTCAACCACGCCCTAACCCGGGGGGACTTAACCGGGTGCCTCGACTTAACCTCTCCAGACACGGTGATCATGCCCCCGGGCAACCCCGCCCTCCGTGGGTCGGAGCTGAAGGAGGTGTGCGAGGCCTTTGTGCAGGTGAGTTCGTCAAAGTGGAACGAGGACAATTTGCCTTGGCGCAAAATGGAGATCAAAAATAGCGTCCGATCATTACATGAGTTGAGCTTATTCGGTCGACTGGTGCGATATTTTTATGGACAAACTTGCCATTGCATCTCTTTGCGAGAACTTTGGATTGGGAGAACGTGAAGGCGTACTTGGACCCGTAAGGGCTTCGGAGACTGAGCAAGATTCAACACCGCTTCTGTAGTCGTTTGCTGCGAACCCGCCTGGAATAAGGTTGGGTCTACCGTAAACGTGACCCCGCTGCTTTGCAAACGCTTGAAAGTCAATGCTCTTTAAAACGAAGCCCGTTTGGTTTGGCGGACCTCAGGTCAAAATTCTCAACGACCTCCTTCTCAAGAAGCCTTGTTGTTCGAAGTGCTTGAGATTCGATACTTGGGATCTGTCTTTCAAATGTATCGCTTATCCGCTTTCCTCCAATGTGCTTTCCATCTAGTTTCGCTGGTCTCTGAATTTCGTGACGTAGAACTTTCTCTAGGTACCTGTTGCGTGGTTTCTTCACAGTGGAAATCAATGCAGTGCGCATGTCCAGGGTCTTTGTAACAACGGCGACTGGGCAGTCCCCTTGAAAAGTCAATCGTTGGGAGCTTTTCCGGCGCATTCTGCCCACCTTCGTATGTACGATGAAACCTTCTGCGCAGCGAAGCGCCTTCTTATCAGCCCGGCGCTCAAAGATCACTCGACCTTTTCTGCCGCACTTGCACGATTGCGATACGTGTCCCGTTCTGCAGGTCGAGGTCACCCCTTTCGTTCCCTTTCAGCCTACTTCTGAATCCAAGTCTGCTTAGCATATTCCGCCGCGGAGTTTCTTCCAAGTGAGTTTAGGCACGGTTGCAGTACTATCGAAAGATTCGTTTCCCACATCCGTTCAGTATAAAGCCACCCAAACTGCCCATCTAAAAAGCCCTTGCTCAACCCTTTCCGGTGCCTCGCCCCGTCTGCAGGCGGGCGTAACGCAGCAGGTCGACATCAACGAGGCGTTACTGTTCAAGGGCCGGCGAATCGTCCGCGGCGCAGGAAGCTCCTCGTACACCAAGGTCAAATACTTCGTCCTTGAGAATGATGCCTTCATCAACTCGTACATACAGGTACGTTTTCTTTCTTTGCGCTTAGCCCTTTGTCACCTCCTGAACTGTACATGTTTCCGGTTTCATTTTGGGCTGTTTGCAAGGTTTGTTACTTTCGAAGAACCGTTGGTCTTCTGACTGGTTCCAACGTCAGTCACGTCTACGGCTGTTGCGGGTGACGGCAAGGTCTGCCACTCCTTCTGTTCTGAACCTTTGTTGCGGCGTTTCGGGAAATCTTTGGCGTCACGACGCTGTCGTCGATTTCGCTCGAGAACTTATGTTGCTTTAATCTCGTCGAGAAAGTCACGCATTGCAGACAGTCGGGTCTTTTGTCTTCATAGATGTTTCTTCCCGGTATCGCATCTTAGATTGCTCTCTACGACATTTCAAGTCGTTGCTCAAGCAAGCACGCCCGAAGGAGCAATCTCGTGTGCAACAGCACGTAATAATCTGTTGCTGCTGAAGTGTAACATGTCTTCTTCACTGCAGTCCAACGTTACTGAAGTCGGAAAGCAAGTCATCTTCTGGGAGGTCCACCCAGGAAAGTCGGCGGAGGGCAGTAACAGGAGCCCGCTCAGCAAAGGAAACCTCAAATGGGGATGGAGCATATGGAACAGCGACGAACCGGGGAACACATAGGGGCGCGTAAAGTGCACAACGTGAGTTTATCATATCAGTGTATCATTCGTTGTATGCAACAACGTTTAAAAGCAGCGCCACATAGTAGAGTACCTTTCCAGGACGTCACGATCCAAGTCGTTTGCGACTGACCAAAGCGTACAATTGTTTTCTTGTTCGAAGTAGCCTTAAGATGTAACGAAGTTGTGTAAACCTTTACAGGAACACAGAGTCGACTCACTTTAGGTTGCGGCAGCGCTAGGTTGCCGCAGCTTAGTTACAGAGCTAAGTACTGTACTTCAAAAGGGCATTGCCGACAGTTAATGATCGCAGAACTTTGCTATTCTGAAGCTTGAATCTGCTGATTCAAGAGTGCATACGCCCATAAATACCGTCCGTTTTGAAAGAATCAAGGCGGCCAAGATTCATTCCATATTCTTGGTTCGACAGCCCCAACGTTTGGAAAGTGGTTCAGTGGACACCAGGAAAGGGAAGAGGTCGCTCCGAGTCGGACTGCTCAATGGAGGTGATGCACAATCGTACATCGTTGAGCTTCCGTTTGTCACATGCCTATGTAATATGTTGGTGTAACGTGAAGCATTCAAGACGTAGATATAGGATCGACCTTGAAGATGCTCAGCTTCCCGAGCAACTTGAACATGCGGTAGTTTCTGAAGATGTGACCACCCGATGAGGAATTGTGCTCTTGCATATCCCGACGCAATTCATGCATCATGGGAATTAACATCAAAAACTGAGCGGTAACTGGCCACACTGCTCGCAGTTGCTTCATACACCGGCCACTAGGCTAGCTCGTGGGAACTGACTCACATCCTGGCTGCAGTGCAGTACGGTACACTTTACAAACTTAATTTAGCGCCCGCTGCCCTGCTGCATTCCGCCTAGGCACGCTTGGCACTGCGTGTTCCGCTCGCGGATACTACAGCCGAGTCCGACGGAATCAATATCAATATCAATATCAATATCAATATCAATCTGAACAATGGTCGTTGGCCAAGCCAACTCAATGTCGCATGTGAGTGCCACAGCACCTCAAATGTCACTCCTCACTGCTATGCCTCGCTCCAGCAATCGTGAACAAATCAACGCGACTAACGAAACCAGTCATCGCCAGAGGCCGCGCACCTAGCGTGCTCTGAACTGCACGAGCTGATCGATGATGAACGGCTCTGGCCTGGCTGCGCTGTAGACTGACTGAGATGCGCTGACGGTAATAACGCAGCAGACGAGAAGCCTCGTCTCCAACCTGACTCTCATCGCTGACTCGCAGAGCTGCTGCGCGCTGGGCGCACATATGGAGGAGCCGGTCGAACGGACCGCCAAAACAGCCAAAGGTCTCTATGGCTGCAGGGATGAGCCTGTCGTCGGGCGAATGATCGGCGTACTTGGACCATGAGACGAACCCGCGAGCGGCACGCGTACTCCTTGGGCAGCTCAGCTGGCATGAATGGCTGGCATGTAGCATGCAGCCTGCAGGGATGCTAGAGTCAGACTCTGAGCTTTCAAAAGGTCCATCCAGCAGCACTGGACAGGGCGGAAAATCCTGAACATTGGTGTTGCCAAGGTTCCTTGATACAGAAGTATTCGCTCGCAGAGCTTAAAAAAGACAGACAAGGGCAGGGGCAAGGATGGGCTCCCCTCCGCGCCCCCTGCTCACGCTAACCCTGCTCGCTTTGTTGCTTACCCCGGCACTTGCGCTCGACTGGCCGTTTGAAGACTTGTGGCCACGCCACCACAAAAAGGCACAGATTGATGGCAAGATCAAAACCATCGTGTTGCTGGTTATGGAGAACCGCTCCTTTGACCACATGGTCGGCTGGCTGAAGCGGCTTAACCCAGAAATTGACGGCCTAACTGGGGAGGAAAGTAACCCTGAGAGGGCAAGGGATCCAAACTCTCCCCGGGTGTTTGTGTCGGATGATGCGGAGTACGTGGATCCGGACCCGGGCCATAGCTTCCAGGCAATCCAGGAGGAGGTTTTTGGGGGCATGGACGCAGATTTGAAAAAGCAGGTACGAAGAAACTGGCCTCTCTTTCTTTCTCACTTTCTCCTGCTTTGATTCTTTGGCCTGTACAGTTTCTTTAGCTGGCTTTCCACCGTGCAGTTCTTAACAAACATGCTCGCAATCTGGCCCATTGTTGCTCCTTCCTTTTACTCCATCTCCAAACTTGTTGTACAAATGCATGTTCAGATATCTTCAGGGGTAGTGGCGGTGGTTTGTTTCATTGATGGTACGGTGGTGTGACGCGCCACAGGGCTGATCAAGTTTGATCTTATCTGTGAATCACTGAGCCAGCGTCATATTCGTCCGAACTGCCGGAGGCATTCCTATCAGGCACATAGTGGGAACTGTCAGGGATACAGAGGCAGGATAGTGAACAGGCGACCCGATAGTTGGATTCCATCGATGATAGTCTAAGGTTCAGACAGACGCTTGTAGTAAGCCCTGGTTCAGTCAATACTCAGGGACATCTTTGTCGCACGGAGTCTTCGACAGCCGCTTGAAGGGCCTAAAAAAAACAACAGAGCCCAGCGCTTTCAGTTTCTTCATCTCATCTTTGATCGCACTGTCAAACTTCCCTACATTTTATGTGAGTCTCTGCCACCAATTGCATCATTTGATGATTTCCTGCACGTTCTTGCATCAGCTTGAACCACCATCCCCTCCGGTTAGACTGGACTCATGAGTTGGCTTATTGATTATTCTTTGCACCCTTACAACTTCTTCACGATCTGCCAAGGCTCTGCTTTGAGACTCCGAACTTCCACATTTGTATCACCATGTCTACCTCAACAAGTCTCCCCGTGGAACGTCAGCCAGAAAGAAAGGGCAAAAGCACACGCTTGTCAGGGTTTGTTAAAACAGAGCTTTGTGCAGCGTCTTTGGCCGTTAAAGCTCTGATGAGTAGAGCATGAGTCATTCTTGAGCATATGTGCGCCTTTCTGAGGACTTGCGGTCAGGGTCTAACTTGGCCCAGTAGAAGCCTTGTAGAAGATGTCTTGGGCCTAAGAAATCCAGGTTTTCAGAACATCCCCAAAAAACGTCAAACAACCTGCACAGGACCCTCCGTGCATGCTACCTGTAGCTCAAAGTCCGCGACAAGCTTTGATATCTTCAGATGGCCTGCAACGACACTTCAAGTTGTCTCGTACTCAGACAGTCATCAGATTCAGATTGTGAGCGCATCTCGTCCTTTCATTCCTACTTCTTGAGGAGTCGCAATGTCTGTTGTTCCGCGCTATGAATGTCTCTTCAGGTTAGGTTTGGTTGTCCATCGTTCTTTCCCTTTTCTTCCCCAGAATCCTGTCGTGATGATTTCTTTGCCCAACACGCGAGAATTTCAACGTGGCTTTGACTGGTTCCTCAAATACCACACTCGAATACCACACTCGATCAGAGACGATGCCACAAACTCATCCCTGGTTTTGGTTTCACAAGACTGTTGATGCCTACTTTCAGTAGGCAATCCCCCGCATGATCGGTTTGCCAATCAAGGGTTCATGCGATGGACTACCAATCGTCGTCTTTCCGAGCATACCCGTGGTTATTCAAATTGTTGAATTGATTCCACCCGCTCCCTGCAATTTGCAGCCCCTATTATCGACTGGAAGTCTCCCTTTCAACATCATTTCTTGGTTCTTTCTGGTCTTTGTGCCCCCTACAACCTGCTTTTAATGAGTAGCTTCGTCCAGAACGCCAACAAGGGCCGATTGCACGGTTTCGATCGTTCTCAGAACATACCCCTGACACTCAAGGTCAATACCCGTTGCATCGATTCCTGTGAATATTTCCCCCAATCTGATGCCCCTAGTATCGGAGTATCAGTCTTCTTTCCGACATCATGTCTGGGTTCTTTTTTATTTTTGTTTTCATATCACCTTTTCCAAAAAAAAAGCTCTTTCTTCTTTTGCAAAGCGGAGTCCGTTCGAATATCTAATAAATTTTCAGTATGTCGAAGGATTCTTTGAACTCTTCCCCTTCATTTCTCTCTTCAGGACCCGCCCCCCATGAACGGCTTCGTCCAGAACGCCAACAACATGTTCACCGGCTTCGGGCGCCGCGTCATGAGCGCCTTCCGGCCCGAAGTCGTCTCCTCGCTGACGTCACTCGCCATGGAGTTCGCGCTCTTTGACAGGTCAGCTGGTAATATCGCTACATCTCTCGAACAAAGAGTCGAGCCGCTTGAAGGTTTTACAGTCGCTCATTCGACCGTTGTTTGCCCACAAGCTGATACAATCGAGTTTTGTCAACACCAGCTTACTTTTCTGTGCCAAAGAATTCATTGCTGCTTGGATTCTGGATTGCAAGTTTGAGTAATATCACAAGGCTTCGTCTGACTAACATGACCAGTTTTGCTTACGGGTCCTCTTCTCGTTCGTCAGGAGCCGCGCGAGGGGCGTTTTTGCATATTACAATAACTTTCAGTCAGCCTATGCCCACCAAAACAGATTGCTAGATTGCAATTGCAGAATGCGTGTCCGTTGCCCAGAATTTGGTTCCTCATACCCACTGGCATCTCTACATTGAGCGCGATTTACGAGAACCCCTATGTTACACACTACTTTCTGTGTTTCGGTTTCCTGGGTACCTGCGCTCTCTGACGATCCATCTTGTATGACTTCATGCTGACGTGTGGCGCGTCCTTTGGCAGGTGGTTTGCGGCGGTGCCGTCCTCGACACAGCCCAATCGGCTCTACATCCACTCGGCGACCTCACATGGCGCCACGTGGAATGATAAGAAGGTCAGCAAGCAATACTACAATTCTGTGTACCGGAACACAGCTGTTCGTATCCCCAGGCTTGCGCCACAACATCTACACGCTTTGACGTCATCTTCATTGCTCATTAGAGAACCATCTGACGAGAGTCCGTGTCTCGTTTTGCTCCGAATTCTCTCTGCATTCTTCCGTTGCATTCTTCCGATGTTTCATTGTTGGTTTCGGGCAGAGGATTTGCGTCGGACGGTTTAATGGACCCCACTTCCGGTGCATGGTTTACCCGCAGGCTTGACCCTCGAGATTTTGCAAAAAATTTCTACCGATATCAAAGGTATACTGAAACCGAAACTGAAACACGAATTCGTTTTGCGGACTATCACACTCGTGCTTCCTTCACTCGCACAAGCTGACGCACGGCCTGTACGAAACAGATCTAAGAGCACCCCAATCCCTGGATCTGACAACTTATCTCACAATCAGCTTCCGCAGCTCCTTCATGATACTGTTTCTTCTTCTCTTGCAGGAGTTGACCCACGGCTTCCCCCAGAAGACCATCTTCGACTCTATCGAAGAATCCGGTCTCTCTTTCGGCGTCTACTTCGCCAACCTGCCATCGACGCTCTTCTTCCGGAACCTGCGCACCGTGCGCCGCGCGTTCAACTTCCATGCGTTCGACCTCTTTTTCAACCACGCGAAAAGGGGGGTCCTGCCGAATTACGTCATCCTGGAGCCGCGGTATTTTGACCTTCCGGATTTCCCGGCGAACGACGACCACCCGAGCCATGACGTGGCGGAAGGGCAGAAAATGCTCAAGGTGGGTTGTCGGCTCAGGGTTACGATAAGGGTTTCAATTTTAGGGTCAGAATTCGCCGTGAGGGTAGGGCAGAAGATGCTCAAGGTGGGCCATTGTTTCAGGGTTAAGATCAGGGTTTCGGTTTCGAGGTTAGAACGTAACGACAATCACCCGAGCCATGACGTGGCAGAAGGGCAGAAGATGCTCAAGGTGGGTCTTCGGTTGAGGGTCAAGATGTGGTTTCGAGCTCCGGTTTGCATTCCAAATCTTGGGTTCAGGTTTAGGGTTTGTATCCGCACCTGGGATTAGCTTTGGGTTCGCATCCGCATTTGGAGTCGAAGCCTTACAAAGTTTGTCTGGTAGGTGAGGAGAAGCTTCTGGGTTCAGCTGAGAGCCTAATTGGAACTGGCTCGATCTGAAGGGTGGAGCGAGCCTTTCCTTTAGGTTAATTCGATCTGGGGTTGTTGGTGGGGGGTATCCTGTGATTGGGAGTAACAACTTTTCATATCTCTTATACAAAGTTGGGCCTTGGGGCGCAGGGAAGGAGAATTGTATGTTTCTGTGCAAGGGAAAGGGTTTGGGTTCAAGCAATCAATACTGAATTCTGGAAACTGTAAATCAGGCTGTGCATTTGGGAGCCCAGGAACCAAACTTCCGAGTCTTTTTGGGGTTTTCCCTCATGTGTGGTTTGGCTGGTAACCCGACCGGTTTGGTTGGGAACCGGAACTCAAAATCTAAAAGCTGAGCCTCGTCCTCGATTTTCAACTCCGTTCTGCAGGACAATCCACGATGCGTGCAATCTGCTTGCGCGAAATGGTAACGCCATGTGCTGGAAGTATATCTGCCGTTCCTGCCAATATAAACGCGCTATTGTGAATCATGTTGTCCTTCGTCGAGCTAAGGGGGCGTCAAAATCTACCACGTCCCCCCTGCGTCGAACTTCCTTTCGTTCTGCGTTTCAATCATACTGCTGTGCCCTTCTGCCCTGCGTTTCGGAAAGCTTTTTAAGAGCCCCTCAAAGACCTCTGTTGAATGTTTTTCTCACTCGCTGTTTCGCAAAAAACTCCGAACGGGTGATCAGAACCAACAAGGGTGAAAGGAGGACTTTTCAACCAGATGTTTCACCCGGCTCCGTTGTAGAAAGCCCTTGAGGCGGTGCTTGCCAATTGCCAATGGGACGAGTCCTTACAGAACATACTCCAATAGTAAAGATCTGAAGGGTCCGAACATAGATAAATATCAAATCAGTCGCTCACGAACAGACACGATATCAGACTGGATCAAAACAATAGGTTTAAGACTGAAATTCCCCCATACCTTCCTGCAGAAAGTTTACGAGGCGTTGCGCGCAAGTCCTCAGTGGGACGAGTCCCTGCTGCTCGTAACGTACGATGAGCACGGCGGGTTTTTCGACCACGTCCCGACCCCGGTAACCGGAATCCCTAACCCGGACGGAATAACCGGGCCGCCGCCCTTTAACTTTGGGTTTGACCGGCTCGGGGTGCGGGTTGCCACGCTGGCAATCTCGCCGTGGGTCGAGAAAGGCACTGGTGAGGGCTTTTTGCATACGCTTTGGGTAGCGCTCATATGCTTTTGAGTGTCTGGAAAGCATTGGACTTGATGGTTGTGGTATAAAGCTTGTGACTCCAAAGCTAGCGGATGAGCGGCGTTCTGATGCGGCCACGGCGATGGTCTGCCGTCAAGTTGTAAAAGCCAACAGCGAGGGCGCCTTCCATGACGTACCAACATTGATATATGATGTGAACATTGCGTTTGATTTGCGTTGGCTCGCTTCTTTCCGTCCACAGAAATCCCGTTTTCAGGAGAATTTTGTTGGTATGGTTTCTCCAAAGTAGCTACTGTGCGTTGGCCCGTTGCTTTCGCTCCTGAATAAAGGATCCTGAGGCCACGTTGCGAAGTCGATATCTTCGAAGCAGAGTCGGAGATGACGGATGATCGTAATCGTACTGTCAACAAGAGTATCTGCAAACGCCGACGCAAGCTGGACTGGAGTACCTGTTGAAGATTTGTCGGTTCCCCGTTTTTCTCGCATTGGCTGCTCAAACTAGTCTTGTTAGAGTTGTTCTCTGATCAGTTTATCAGTTGCGGCTTATATTGCGCTTGTTTTTTTTTTTGACGTCAGTATTTTCGCCCCTCAAAGCTGCTCTTCGGATGCTTTTGAACGCTGAGTCTGAGCATTGCATCCTGACATGGTTACCTCAAGTGACAAATCAGAGACAAAATGGAAGCGCGACCTTTTCCTTTCTGGGCAAATTGAACGACCCGCAGCTCAAGCCGGTCTCTACCAGCCTTCCAAACATCCGTTGATTCCCACAACATCCGGAATGATAAGCATATGAGATCGCAAGACCCGACTTTGTCACTGACTGTCTGATCTCCGCCTTTGTTCAATTGTGCACGAGCCCCGGATTGAAGCCCAGCCCGACCAGTCTAAAAGTTGCCTACTTACACATAGTTTGGAAATCATCTGAGGTTCCTTTGAGGCTTTGTTGAACTGCTCGCAAGATACTGACTTTCACTGACACTTAATTGTGCTTATTGGTGCCGTTGAACGAGTTCTGACGTTCACTGATACTCGACTGCGCTTAATGGTGCAGTTGTTTACGAGTTCTGACGGTCACTGACACTCGATTGCGCTTATTGGTGCAGTAGTTCACGAGCCCTGGTTGAAGCCCAGCCCGACCATTAAGGAACTCGCCGACTCCCAATGTTCGGACAACTAATCATCTGAATTCCTTATTAAATCTTGTCGATACCGCTCGCAAGATCTGACTTTTGTCGCTGACATTGAATTGCGCTCATTGTGCAGTTGTGCATGAGCCCCGACTGAAGCCCAGTCCGAGCAGCCAGTTCGAGCACTCATCAATTCCGGCGACCGTCAAGAAACTGTTCAACCTCTCCTCCGACTTCCTGACGAAGCGCGACGCTTGGGCGGCGACGTTCGAGGACTTATTCACACTGCGGGACACGCCCAGGACGGACTGCCCGAGTGAGAATACGCCCCTCTGAAGCGCTTTCGTTGTCTGAACTCCTCTTCACGCTTTGCGAGTTTGTGAACCCGCGGTCGTCTGTGAATGTGCGTCCGTTGTCTTTCGTTTCTTTCCCGCCTCCGGTCCTTTCGGTTCTTTTCCGCAGAACGTTCTGCGTACTTGTTTGATGACATAAGCACTGTCAGATGCTATTGGAGCATCTGAGAGGATCGTGCCCGACAGTCCTTAAAGTAAGCCAATTCCTTACCAAGTACCTTATCCGACGCAAGCTCATCAAGCAGCGTAAACTTCCTCTTGGAACAAGTACGCAACTTGGGAATATCATTAGATCATTCCAAGTCTCTGCCTTGACTCTCCGTTCTCACCAGAGACTTTGGAAACCCGATGTGGCAGCAGTCCGTTCTGACTGCACTCTCAGATAACATGGTGCTCAAGTTCCGCTGCCCTCCCGCCCTTCGCCTTTGGGCCATCCAGACCCCTCCAAAGCGCCGCCTCGCGCTTTTCTCAGAAGACTGACTTTGACTTCGTCATCTTGTGTATACGGCGACATTTTTGTCGTCCTTGATCCTTCTCCACACAGGCGCTTCCAAATGTTTGTACGGCGCTTTGCTATGACCGACTGAAGCCACGTCTGATCGTATCAATTCCATGCTTATACGCTATTATGCCTGTCCCACGGTCGCTGTGACGCTTCCAGATTTCACCAGGACTTCAGCTTTGACATTGTCTGCTTGACAGGCAATCGTGGCTCCTTTCCTTGCGGCCCCCCTTCCTTGCAGCTTCGAATTTCGTCTCAAAGCGCTGCGCCGTATCTAAGAGGAGGAATGTATTTCAACTGTTTCATGCAACACACTTTCTTTTTATCATGCCCCTTCTCAATAGTCTCTGTTCACAAAGATCCTCAAGTGTTCTATTTGCATCGTCTTTGGCTGACACGCTGGGGCCTCCTTCATTTCCATATAAATGGCGCTCCCCGGCTCTCGCAAACTTTGTATCCTAAAAAGAAGATTCGTCAAACATCTCCAAGCGGGTTCGCTACTCTGCTTTTCCCAAACTAGTTGCAGACCCACCCAAGGCCTCAGCTTCTGTCACCCTTGGCTGACGCGCTAAAGCGTTGTCTTCACTCCCCTCCTCCTTAGTGACGCCTCCAGATGCTCCCAAAGCGCTCTAACGTTTTCAGATAAAGCTGAGGGGTTTCAGCGCTCTTCTGAAAACGGTTTCCGAGTCGCCCGCCCCCTCACTCACAGGCAGACCCGCCCAAGGCCTCACGTTGTCTCACTTTCCGCTGATATGCCAAATGAATATCCCCTTTTCCCGCCCAGTCCGCAATGACGCTTCTAGGACCCCCAAGGCGCTTTCGCCATACCTTGAGCAACGGACTTTTGATCCATTTTCGAGCGGGTGCCTTATTCCGGCCCGTCCCTCTGATTACTCGCAGACCTACTCGAAGCTGACACGCTAACAATCATCTGCGCTTCCCCCTCCTTTTAAAGTGACGCTCCCCGACCCTCCCAAAATGTTCGAACTACATGAAGGAACCTCAGGTTTGTTTCAAGCAGGTGCGCCGCAACTTCCTTTTCCACGGACCCATCACTCCTCGGCCTACACGCTAAATTTTCTCTTTCCCCTTCCTCCCCCAGTGACGCTTCCCGACCCCCCAAAGGCGCTCCGTCACAGTGCCCCCACTGGGAATGGCCCCCTGAGCGAGTGGCAAGAGGAGCTGGTTCAATTGGCCGCACAGCTGACGGAGGATCCCGTATACTTGTACGGCATGTTCGGGCAGCCTCCGATGAACGTGAAGCAGGCAGCGGCGTATGTAGAGTCTCAGGTAAGTTCACGCCGTCTTTTGTGGCCTACGAAAGTGGTGAGTAAAATTAGGAAAACCAGACGAGAAAGCCGGTCGAGTCTGACTTCTACTTGGTCGTTTTATTGGGTCCTTTACTTGGAAAATCATTGCCCTTGGTAAACGTGTGGCTCTTATGTTGGAGCAAACACAATAAGCACGACGCCCGAAATCGATCGAGATTGTGGAGTTGGGAATGTCGAAACGCCTGGATTCTTGCAATCTGGGCTTGCTACCTGAATGTATATTTAGTCAAACCCTGCCACGTGATCCGAGTTCGAATCGAGGCGTTTGCAGAACTTGACCCAGTACGCTGAAATTGTGCCAATCAAAAAGCCGGATGCTCCTATTCAAGGGTCCAGATTTTCGGAGTGGGACAAGTTGACGGCCAGACTGAGATTGGACATGGGTCAGGCAGCTAGTTTTTGACCGGACCTGTAGTAGTTGCGGTTCGTGGCGGAGGCTCGCTTTCTGATGCACATGTCAATACCTGCAAAGCCTTTTTGGATGCCTCCTCCCACTGGCTTCGCCTTATAAGGGGTTATGTCACAACGTTTGCACTGCCACCTTCGATAGAAGTATCTCTTGCAATGGTTCGAACCATGTTAGGTAATGAAGGCTGTTCTCCCGCGATATCAAAGCTCGAGGAAAGGTCCCTCTTCTGATTGTTTTAAAAACGAACCACGAACGTTAACAGGTGGAGTTTTGATGTGATTCCACGCGACCTCTGAGTTTGCCAGTGCCCATTGGTTGCTCACACCTATAGCTTATGATCTTCTGGCCTCCACTCAGTCAGACGGAAGAGCGACCCCGGATCCAGTAATGAGCATGAATCAAAGAGGGATTAAGATGAACGACCTGGTTCATATTTCAGAGCGCCACTGACTTCTATTGACGCTTGCAGGTGCTCACATTCTTGGAAAAGCAGCGGGTGCAGCTTTCGGAGCTTGAAGCTTTTGGGAGCGACGTCACACCTCGAGTTGAGGCTGTTGGTAAGAGGCCTGACCAAGTCGTTCGATCACGTTGATCAATTATTGGATTCCGTAGTTGTACAGAACATCTGCTTGTAAATAGGATGCGGCGTTGCAGAGTGCCTGTATTGCCGCGTGAGGTACATAGAGCGGTGATGGCGAAACTTGAAAAAGACCGATTTGATTGCTCAAGTTTTGAGCTTTGTATCATAGTCGAGTATGTGGTCTACAAATCCAGGACAGTACAGAGTACTCATCACGAAGAAGCAGGGGAGTCAGCCCAGCGGGCAATACGTTTCGTGGTTACGCAACAAGAGTCTATCATATAAGCACTGAGCATCGCAGCGGGCTTGTTCACAATAGGGCGGTTGCAAGCGACCACCTGTGAACAAATTGGGTGCCTCCATGATGCGGGTGCGTATGTGTCGCATGCATAACGAACCATGCCTAATTCTACTTGTAACTTTCAGGTAAGTTAGATTGTATGCAAGTGGGCAACTGATTGATGGAACCCAAATGAGACGTAAGGCTGACCTGCAATCTTTGAAGACTAGAGGCTCTTTGAGGTGATTCCCCTAAGCTGTACTTGGACAATGAACCATTGTAGGTGCACATTTTGAGCGGTTGTCCCAATGTCCAGCCCCTTGTCAGTCTATCGCAGTCGCCTTCGTCAGGGGTTCCACCAAACAATGCACACCTGTACGTACATTGACTGTTGAGAGTTTGAGGCGGCCTTAAAAAAACTCCCCATACAAGAAGGAGAAAAGGTACCACCAAACATTTCTGGCAACCCTGCTGCAAATCCTGATGAGTTCGGAGCCGATCATGCATGAATGTGTGGGCCGGACGGACGAAAAAAGCCAGGCTACCTATACAGTATACTGGGCTTTATACAAGTAGGTAAGGTACCGTACCGTACGGTATATTGGTATGGGCCCATTGAAGTAGGTACCTACCTAGGTACCGGTAACTCTGTCTCTAGCTGGCTAGTTGGGTTCATTTGAGTCTTGACTACGGTAGCCGGGTATAGCAGGTGGAACGCCGAATCTCAAAATTATTTGGCCTTTCTGATAGCGCATTGGCTCCAGCAATTTCGAGTGTTGAGCGTCGCGATGAACGCATCGGACGGCCAGAATGAAGTCCTAGCAATTATGATGACGTCAGGCTGACGAGTTACTAACAATGGCTGCCAAGCTTTCCGACTTCCTTGTTGAACCTAGGGTGGTGTTTGCTGCGGCGCTCCTCACCATGTCCATCAATCAGGACAATGAAGCTTCCTATCCCGTAGTGAATTCAGAATGCTAGCTGCTCGCACTTTTTTCAAGCTCAGGCATGGTCATTTGACCCTTGTCCCAAGACCGTAAAGTGTATCGTATGGTTTCGGGAGGCTCAAGGACCTCATCAAATCCCCATGCAGCAAGCCTTCTGCAAGCTCATTCAAGGTTCAATGACATTTCTAAAAGCTTGCAGTAGCTGAAAAAGAAGGAAGGAGCAGTTTACTGACGCAAGAAGCTGAGTTTTCAGCTTCACAATGGCTGCAGTAGGGAGCTTCAAGGCAGCCATGGCGGAATGGCACCTGTGATTCGAGCTGGCATAGGCATTGTCCTTGACCAGGACGGGTCTCCAGTCTGTCGATGGTTTGCGAGTTGCGATTAGGCCCCTTCTTCCTTGATTGATCGAGCGGCGGTGAGGTTGATAAATTTCATCGGACGGTTGCGCGTATTCGCGGAACCCTCAGGCAAATAAAGATTCGGCTACCCACCTGTAGGTATTGCCAATTGGCTCCATGATGACGCAGATTGCAAGTACCGGTAGGTAGGACTAAACCTAACAGTAACACATTCAATGACAGTAAAAGCTCCGGCTGCCCGGCAGACTATAATGCGACGCGCAAACCCGGAATCACTGGTGGTCTGAATCTTGACACGACCGCTTTCTTCTCATTTCCTCTCGATCGACCCGTCACCCCAGACTTCGGGATAAGGGTGCGACCTTATACTATACCGGTAGGTGATCGTCCGGTCGCACCGGGGAAAAACCGCAGCAATTTGATGTAGGTAGATATGATAAAGTTTACCCCCACGTAAATACGGTATACGGTACCACTACTAGTAGTACTGGTATTAAACTCCCATATTTCAAAATTTCACGATTTCATGAAGGGTACCGGCAACACTTCACTACCTAACTACGGTAGCTGTAGGCACGTGTCCGGAACTGGAGTCTCGACTGAGTCTGTGTGTACCGTAATAGGTACCG